TTTCTCTAGTACAAGAGCCTGATAGTGTAAATAAAAACTAAAAGGTATAATAGACAATGTGAAATAGAAAGAAAAGTGGCAAAGGGGAAGGGGAAATGAGAGGGGAAGGCAAAGTAAAGAAGGGAATGGAATTAATTTGAGAAAATTAAAAAATGAAAATAAGTCTTTGCAGATAGCGAGGGAGGGAGGGGTTGAAGGGAGGGTGAGGGAATAGGGAAAAACTACGAACCAAGATGGATTATGTAAAGGTGCCAATTTCCAGTGATGAATATCTTTATATTGTATGCCTGACATGTACCAATAAAATTAATTAGAATTAAAAAATCTGCTACCAACAACCCATAACGCTTCATGCTTTCTTTTTTTCACCAGCACTTGTCACCTTTTAGCAGGCTGTGTATTCTACCTATTTTATTGCCTGTCTGTTGCACTATGCTCTCTTAATTCCATTAAAAGCAGAAGTTTGTTTGTTTTGCCTGTGCTTAACATATGGAAAATACTCAGTGTGTATTTATTAAATAAATGAGTGAAAAAACAGTGTGACCAATTTCATTGAATATAACACTCAGAAACATACAATATTAAAAATTGTGTGGAACACTAAAGGTGACTATATATCATAATAACCTAGTTCACATTTTTTTTTTGAGACAGGGTCTCACTATGTAGTTGAGACTGACCTGAAACTCCGTAGTAGCCCAGGCTCATCTCAAACTCACAGCGATCCTCCTGCCTCAGCCTCCCGAGTGCTGGGATTACAGGTGTGAGCCACCATGCCAGGCTTTCTAGTTCTTGTTTTAGAAATAACCAAAAGACTGGGTTTGACTTCTTCAAAAACAGAGTAACTATGAAAGGACATGGAAAAGATAATTACCATTACTTGATCAGTACACATAATAGAAAGTTTTAAAATGTTACACTCTATGCCATAAATATGTATAATTATTACATATTACAGGCAGGTAGAGAGGTGAGGGGATAAAAACAGAATTAAGATGTATTCTGTACATCATGTACTACGCCTGCATGATGAATGTAGTCATGTACTGTGAACATGTACTAATAAAAATTCATTTTTTTATTTCAAAGATTTTTAGAAAAGACAAAAAGAGACTAGAAGGAAAAAATGGAAACAAAACTTTGTAAATGGGTGAAGTGAGGGTGAAGGGACGGGAGGATGCTGGAGAAGAAAGAAGCATCAAGATGTATCATGTAGAAGTACAATTTTCCTGTGATGAATGTGATCACTGTGCATATCTGAAATATACCAATAAAAGAAACAAAAACTATAAATGTGGTCAGCTAGGGATTTTCTTTGGTCTACTGCCAGTCCTTTAGGGAATGTTGAATTGGCAGGCTAGTTGTGAAGAATTTGAACTACAGAGGTTTTTGAAAGAAAACAGCTTTTAGAGAGTGGGCTGCAAATGAGGATTGGCCTGGAGATATTCATGGCAAGGCCCTTGTTTATGGTTTCAGGTGGTGGATCTGCATCTCATATCTTCCTGGATAGTGCATTATGGACACTGCAAAAATAATATTAGTAATTATAATTATTGCTGTTATTCCTTGTCAGATACATTTTCTTGAATTTTTTTCTTTGAGATAGGAGGTATGCTAAATATTTCACATTTATTTTAATTTTAAAGCATTTTAAGATACTTACATATTTTATAGCATTTTAAAGGTATGTCCTGCTCTCATATCTAGGAACACTGTATTTTTCCGGTGTCCCCTCTCTAGACTTCACCTGCCCAGAAAGCCAGTTATCATTATAGTTATTAGTTTGTGCTAATTTTTAATGTTTTGTCAGAAATTTTAATTCGTTATCCTTTTTTAAATATATAACATTTCCAGTAAGTATTTGCTGCAATGCATGTCCTCCTCTCCTAGGCCAGTCTCAGATGAAATTTTCCTTCTAGTGAACACACATCATGATGGTGAACATGCACCCTTTTTTAGATAGCAAGTACACACTCCAAATTTCTTGTTGCAAATCTCTGAAATGTCAGCCCAACATTTTAATAACTCCCATTGCAAGTAGATGTTCTTGTGTAATCCCTGATCAGCTAAATGGTACTATTTTCTACAGGCTTTTATACCAAGATAGGAAGGACTACATGTACATTCCGTTTTCTGATGTTTACCAAAGACCATGGTGATTTCAGTGGGCTTGAGACTCTCAGATGTGATGTCTTGATTCTGGCTCACATGTTCAAGGCCTGGTATGATATTAGCATTTGGAGAAGCGGCTGAGATTGGGCTTATCAGGTATCAAAAATAGTATTTATTTAATAATTACATTAAAATAATGGTACAGTAGTAAAAAATGTATATATAACATGAACACATAAAGGTTGATGGTTTCTTTGGAGACTAAAGCTGCCTTTCAGAGATGAAAAGGAGAAAAAAAATCTAACAAATATTTATTCACTTACACTGGTATAAAAATAGATCAGACTGCCCTGGAACTCACTATGTAGCTCAGGCTGGTCTCAAACTCTCAGTGATCCTCCTACCTCAGTCTTTGAGTACTGGGACTACAGGCATGTGCCACCATGCCCGACTAGTATAGCTTTTTTCTAAATCTCTGCATTGCAAATAGATAAAACATTTCATTGTATGGATAATTACTATTAATTGAAATAAGTCAAGTTTAATTTTTCTGAGCAAAATTCTTAAATCTGGATTATGAAATCTAGAAAATTTCTTGAATGTTGCCCAGAAAATAATGTTTAGAGCTTTATATGTACTATTTAATTTAATTTTCAGAAATAAAGAGGTGAGATACCTTCAAGGTCAAGAACACCTTAACCACTCTTAACTACTAGTTGGTAGTTCTTTTATAAATTGTAGAATGTTGTTCTCTGGTACATTTTATAAATATTTGTCAAGACTGCAAAACAATTTAGATATGTGCAAAAATGAGGATGTGACTTAGATTTTCTTCCACCTGGGAAAACATGAGCTTATTTAAATAAAAAATTACTCAAAGTAATTGTTACAATTAATATATTGAGTCACAGAGTTAAGTGTGGTAAAATGAAGTAATCTGCAATTTAGAGACTATATCTATGTGCAAGACATTGGGTTCTGCACAATATCATGTAAAATATGAATCAAATTTTCTCCTCCATTATCTTTCCATTTCTAATATAGCTGAAAAATTTGCCACCACAGAACAATTGCTATATTCCTACTCTAACATCAGAATGTAGAATCTATGAAAAATTTCTGAGACTTATCCAAAAAGAAGCCATAATATTTTAAAATATTTATTTCAGTTTTCACCAGAAATCAGCTAAAAGTTATTTTTTAGCTTAGAAAGCATGCACCACTTTTAAGTGAAAACATTCTCCACTCTGTTAATTCAGAGAAAAGAGAGCACATAATCAAAACTTACCCTTTCACTGAACTGGCACATTTGATATTGTCAAAGCACTTAAATTTGTATGTTCATTGATCTATAATATAAAAAAAAATTTCAATAGTCAGTAGTCTCATGTTTTCACAATGTGGAATTTTCATTTTTATCGCTATTATTTTAAGTACTTTTTGAGTGATCATTGTGGATAAATGAATTGAAGGGAAATGGAGGAGGTGGAAGTAACAGAGTTAACGTATTGATTTTCTTCCCATTGGATCAATCTATGAATTTATCACAACAGATTCATTCTTTCTACTCATACTAATATTAACTATAGCAAGTGTTAGTGCATTGACTTTTAACATTTTTGGCACTAATCCACCTTGTTTTGTTAGTATATTTAAATTTTAACCTTTTCTGATGTAGTTGGAAAAATTTTAAATGACTTAAGGAATAAAAAATCATGCTTTCCAAGATGATTAATTGATAACAGTATCACATATATTATTTTTTAATTAAATTATTAGAAAATAGATAAAACACTCAAATACAGTTCTTAAAGATTTTAATATAACAAGAAAACTAAATTTTATAGGTTAAAAGATATTTAATTGAAAAATAAAGAATTTTGGTGGTGTATAGACATTTTAGAAATAGATAATCTGAAACAATATTAGTTACTTAATGTTAGTCTGATAAAGTTTTCTTATAACCTGGACAATTATAAAAAAATTCAGCTAAGACTTACATGGTCAAAAGCTTAAATTTCATTAGATGATGGGAAGGGTAAAATCTTTGTGGGCACAAAATAAGTTTTCATTCACCAGGACCAGTTTTGATATGCTTTGTACCATCCTTTTGACTATTTGGTAGACACTGACAGAACATAAAAAAGTAAAGTTTGCAAAACTTGAGAAACCTTCAAAATAGGAAACAAATTTGAAAAATGACTTTCTTTTGCCCTCTTATCTTAAAATAATAGCTGCTTTTATATGGCATGAAGATAAAAGTAGATAGTCTCTTTTATAAGAAAACAGATCTAAAATTATAAAATAACAAAAAGTGAGAATAACTCATACATTACAGGCATGATTTTGTCACAAATAATTTTTTTAGGCTTAAAAATTATCAGCCTCAAAGGATATGAAGTGGGTCTTTGGAAATGATCATAGTAAAATGTTAATTAAATCCATTGTTCAACTATAGGTGACTCAATATAACTGTATTTGTTTGCTTGAGAGGAACTTTTGAGACTGGAACCATAGCTTTTATTGTTATTATGTGCTTCACTCTCTGTAGCTCAGGAACTTAATGTACTCTTCTATACAGATGCAATAAGTAACTCAGATACATTTGGAGAAGTGTATTACTGTACGGGTGTGTGTGAGCACAGCCCCATGCATCTAGGTGCTGGCCAGAACCAAGAGGGTCCCTTTCTCAAATATTATCCAAGTTGTTACAAAAAGAAAAATCTTACAGTGAGGGTTTTAAATGGTTCCTGGCTATAACAAGGGCTCTAGCAAATTGTTAAGTGATTGCATAAAATCCTTCACATATACTTGTAGAAGTATCATGTGTTTGTAGCTAGCTGTGTAATTTATTTCTTTTAAGATTATACCGCAGAGCCTGAAGATCAATGGAAGTATTCAACCATTCCAGAGTGTCTGAATTTGTGTTACTCGGACTTACTGACTCCCTTGAGCTCCAGATATTTTTCTTTGCTCTATTTTCCATTTTCTATTTAATGACCATGTTTGGTAACTGCTTGATTATGTTTACTGTCCTGTCTACCTCAAACCTCCACTTTCCCATGTACTTTTTGCTGAGCAACCTGTCTCTAATTGATATGTGCTTGTCTTCCTTTGCTACACCAAAGATGATCATGGACCTTTTTGCTCAGCACAAGACCATCTCCTTTGGGGGTTGCATGTCTCAGATCTTCTTTTTGCACCTCTTCACTGGGACTGAGATTGTGCTGCTGATCTCCATGTCTTTTGACAGGTATACTGCCATATGTAAACCTCTCTATTACTCAAAAATTATGAGCCCAAAAATGTGTATCGGGCTTGTGGTAATGTCTTGGACAGTGGGTTTTCTGCATACAATAAGCCAGTTAGCTTTTACACTCTATTTGCCTTTCTGTGGTCCTAATGTTATAGATAGTTTCTTCTGTGACCTTCCTTTAGTCATCCAGTTGGCTTGTATAGATATATATGTTCTTGGTATCTTCATGATCTCCACAAGTGGTGTGATTGCTCTTATAAGCTTTCTGCTGCTGCTCACCTCCTACGTCATTGTTCTTGTCACTATCAGGGATCACAGCTCCACTCGCTCTTCTAAAGCTCTTTCTACCTGTACTGCACATTTCATAGTTGTGCTAATGTTCTTTGGGCCTTGCATATTCATTTATGTGTGGCCTTTCACAAGCTTCCTGGTGGATAAAACTCTTTCTGTTTTCTACACCATCTTCACCCCTTTTCTGAATCCACTTATTTATACTTTGAGAAACCAGGAAGTAAAGGCAGCAGTGAAGAAGAAACTATGCAACCAATATTTCCATTTTGGGAAAACGAATCCACACCATCCAGAGCAATGAATGGAGATATCCTACCTGAGACTTAGATAATCAGTTTTGCTTATAGACCAACAGAAAATTGAACTTGGATTCTGCCTTTCAAATGATGCCATCTAAAGCATTAAAATAAGAATCCAGGGTTGAGAGATGTACAACACTTTGTCTAAAAATTAAAACAGGTATTGCAAATCTTTGGAGAATATGGGTTCACTCGATAATCTGTCAAACTATAAAGTTTTAGTTTTTACAGGAAAATTCATGTTATCAAAACTGTTAATGTAAATTCAGAGCTTCATGTGAATCCTATAAACATATCTCAGAGACTACTTAAAGAAGACTGAGATACAATATTGTCCTCTTGCCATGTAACTGAATATTTCCACTTTATGCACAGCTTTGAGGTACAACGATAGTGTTCACTCTAATTTAGAATGTTAATTAAAGTTTGGAGCACAACAGGCTGTTTAAAAAAAAGAAATATTTTCACAGAAAATTGATACTGTGAAGAGATTCTTTGGAATCATTTTGAAAATGTTGACTCAAATTGTTTGAATTCTGAGTCAACCTTACCTGCAATACGATAGTAAAGGAAATCTGAAATTTAATAATGCAGTGTCTTAATATGTGCACATATCACTGTCACTTGATAACTGATATAAAAATAGTCAAGTGGTAATTTTTAAAGTTCAAATCATAGAAAGTAAACTACTTAAATTTGATTAGCTTTTTATACCTGGCTGAAAAATCATAGGAATAACTCATTGCCTAGACTAAATATTTGGAGAAATTATTAACAATTAAGTTAGTGACAAAATTTTCATTTTTAAAATAAAGTATTGCAAAATAATATTACTTTTGGTACAAATTTTGTGTCTAATTTCTAATACAATGTGGATATAGGAAGAAAATACAAAACTAATTAAAGAATTGTATCCTACAGTTTTCCCTGATTTACTTTATTACAACATAGTCTGGAAATCAGCTGCCCAATATATTTTCCTATCATCTAAATTACAAACTATCCTACAATTCATAGACATAGCTCAAGATAAATCACTAGAAAGAACAATGAACATTGCTCCAGTCTAGATTAACATGAGTCTTGGAATTAAATATTGCATCTTTCATTTCTCAGTTGTGTTTTACAGAAGGATTCACTGTGCCTCTCTGATATGAGGAAATTTTTTCATTTTTTCATTTCTGATATGAGGAAAATGAAAAGTAGATTAAATAGTAGTTGTGACTATTTCTTTAGAAAGCAATCAGAATGGATTCTTTTTTGGTGGGGAGGTACCAGGGATCAAACTCGGGTCCTTGTGCTTGTGAGCCAGGCGGTGGAACCCCTGAGCTAAATCCCTGGCCCCAGAATGGATTCTTAAAAAGTCACTTCCATTTCCCTTGGATTTCTACTTGAAATAGATCTTATTTTTAAATAGTATGCCTATGAAGAATAACTTTAATCTCAGAAAGCTACTAGCATATAAGTTTGATATTCCTATTTTTGGATATCTGTAAGATGGTGGCTTAAGACATATGATAGAAAAACAATTACTAATTCCAAGCAATTAGTGATTCCATTACTAATATGGTAAGTGACAAAATTAGGTTAGACGACCTGATATTTTGCAGTACCAATAGACTGTGTCTCTTTGAGTGGTATGGAAAGAGTTCCGGGAGTAATCTGACACCAAGAATTCAAGTGTGAATATCATGAGAAAAACAAAAACGTCACCCCCTTGCCATGTAAAAAAGAGAAACAGCATTAATGGTTTCTTACATTTGTCTTGAACTTCTAAAGTCTCAACATACCTCAAAGCTAACATCTTCCTTGCCAAATGTTGAACCTCAGAAAGTGAACGGTGTGTACAAGTTTATGAAGAAATGTAGTGTTGGAGGTAGGTATCAAAGTCACACTTTTAATTTGAAGCGTTGCTCATTTTTAACCTAATAATTGCCCTTGTTGCCTCACTGCTCAAAAGGATGCAAAAAAGTAAAGGTAGGAACATGCTCATGTCATTTCCATACTTCAGCAAAACTTATTATCTTTGTTTTAAAATTTGAAATACTGCTCCTGCAGTGTCAATCTTTGGATCAATAGTCGTTTGTCGAGCATCTGCTTTGCTTCAGCCTTCGATAGGTAGTAGAGACCTATTTTTAATTTTGGAGGGATATTTATCCAGCAATTAGGGAGGATCAGTCCCTTATAGGTCTGAATTCAGTCCTTCCACTTTATTGTGCAAACCTGAGTAATGGAAAAAAATCATTAGTTTATTTACCTATAATATGTAATAACAGTACTTAGTTACTGTTAGTGACGTGAAATTTAAATAAAATATATTAACATATTTAGCAATGTTTGATATTCATTAAAGACTTAATAAATACTAATAATATTATTTTGTTAAATCAGCGTATAATTTTCAGATACAAGCATTGAGTTGAATGTGTTAATTTACTTAGTATTGGATCTTTGTCAAATACTATTAGCCTTTGGTGCAGTTCAGTAGTTTTTCTTGTCCTTAACATACTTGTATTTTTTGAATGAAGTATTATATTTTGGGGCTTTCTTATTTTAAATTGAAATACATACTAAGATTACATTAAAGGAAAAAGGAGCATATACTATGTTTGATTGGTCAATATCTCATTGTATCACAATAATGTTTTACAATAAAATAAATTGAGTTAAAAAGCTTGCAGTACCATGCAGGTATTTTGTCTCTCATCTTTTATCCATTTAAAAGTAGTAATAGCACCAGGGATTTAGCTCAGTGGCACTGCACCTGCCTTCTAAGTGCAAGGTCCTGAGTTCAATCCCTGATACCAAAATAAACAAACAAACAAACAAATAAATAAATGTAGTAATAGGGGGAGGGAAGATGGGATGGATTCAGGAAAGGAAAGAAAGGAATGAAATTAATATGAGAAAATGAAAAACATGGAAACACATCTTTGTAAATGGGAAGGGGATGAGGGGTTGAAGGGAGTGCACGGGAATGAGGGAAAAATAAGAACCAAGATGGACTATGTAAAGAAAGAAATCTCTAATGATGAATGTCATTACATTGTATACCTAAAATGTAACAATAAACATATGAAAAAGTAGTAATACAATCATTTAAGTTTTTAAATAATAAAATTTATTAACCTGCAAATGAGTGTTGACATTTTATCTATTCATATTATGTAAAAATCTAGTATTAAACAAGTTTCTACTATAGGGAAAAGAGTGTCTAGATTTGAACACACGAAAGAATTGTTTTGAGACATGGTAAAAAGTACTATTCAGGAAATTATTTAAATTAAAACTGCAACATCGTAGAATCAAGTCGGACATTTTATCTGGTAAATAAATCTCCGAAGCTGGAGAGTAAATGTCTATTCTTTGCCTGGGACTTTCTTATCGAAGAGCCTGTTCTTAGGGGAGAAATTGAGCTCTGAAATGTAGCTGTGTTCATGGAGCCTGGTTAAGGCTTCTGCACCTATATGCTTATCAGATTAGCTATTTCCCAAGACGTTGCACATCCTAATATCCATACTTTACACTGGACATCGCTCCATGCTTGCTTTTCCAAAGATGAAATATACTGATTTGATTTGTTTTCACGTTTTTCACTACTAATGAGGATAACATATCTGTTTATTCTTAAATGTTTTACTAAAAGTTTATAGCAGTATAGATATTGTCCTGGGGATGACAGAAACAATACTAATGGACTCCAGGAACACACAATAAAAAATTATTGCAGTGTAGGATCTTGCTTATCACCTCAGTTCTCTTTTGCATTCCTTTTTTCTTAATAGGTCTTTTCCTTCAAAATGCCAGTTGCTCCACTGGTGGGGCCTTTACACAAGCTAGTTTACAAGGTGTGATAAAAGGCAGCAAATGTTTAAATTTTTAAAAATTTTATAACAGTAAAAGACACATTGCCGTTAAAATCCCCCTCCAAACACTCCCCTGCAGTTTGAGCACATCCCCTTGCTCTTGGTACTGTCTGAAGCAGCTCGGCAAGTCTTCCTGTGTGAGTGTCCAAGTGCTTTCTCATGGCTGTCTTTATGTGCTGAATCAATTCAAAACCTTTCACGGCGATTTTAAGTTCAGGGAAACATCAGAAGTCTCATTTTGCCAGATTCAGTGAGTAAAATGGATGAGGACACACAGTAATATTTTTGGGAGCCTGCCTTTCCATTGAACAACGCTAGGCAGCTGCAATCACTGCATTTTGGTCCTATTTTGTGAAAGTACTCAGAAAAGATGACCCCCAGAGGTGCTGCAGGACGTGACAAGATTGATTGGATAAGTGTGTTTGAAGTCAGGGTGATGATTTTGAGGGAGATTAAGAGCAATATGTCTTTTCCTGTAATATTGTTTTATTTAAACATTACCTTATTTATTTAATTTGTTTTTGAGACAAAATCACACTATGCAGTCCAGCCTGGCCTTAAATTCACAATGATCCTCCTGCCTCAGCCTCCTCCATGCTGGTATTACAGGCACAGACCACAGTGCCCTGCTATTTTATTTTTGATTGGTAGTATATGTTTTCAATACATAATGATTACATTATTCATGAGAATTTTTATACATATAAAATACAACATAATTCTTTTTTTCATCCCCTTTATCATTCCTTTCTCCCTGCACACTGTGGCCCTTGGTCCTCTTCCATTTTGTAAAAGACCTATCTCTTTCTGTTGTATTTCATTTTACTCTTTATTTGTATTTTGATTTTTTCATATAAGAGAAGCCACACAGTTTTTAACTTATGCATCTGATTTATTTCACTTCACTTTATAGTCTCAAGGTGCATCTATTTTCCTACAAGAGACCCAAGTTTACCCTTCTTTATGCCAGAGACATTACCATATATTTTGATCATATCTTATAACTACTTAAAAATAACCTCCTGCCCTACCTGCTTACCCTGTCCAGATCCTACCCATTTCTCAGAACCAACCTTGATTTAATTGTTCCAAAAAGTTTTCCAATATGTGGCTGGGGATTTAGCTCAGTGGTTCTG